CGCGCGCGCCCGCGTGCCCAGCTGCCCCGTGCTCTCGGCAGGGGAAGATCCTGTGCCACGAGCTCCTCGTGCAGGTGTGCGACCTGCTCAGGCTGAGGGACTGCCACCTCTTCGGCCTCAGCGTCATCCAGAGTAAGTGGCTTCCCGCCCCGCTGCCCTCAGAGCAGGAATCTTGGCCTCGGTGGTGGCTTCCAGCCAGGTCACCTCTACCTTTGCCCCTTGAGCCGGTCCCGTCTCCCGCGGGTGCAGGAGGGTTTTCCCGGAGGAAGCGGCCCTTGGCCCTGCCAAATCCCGATTCCAGAGCAGAGGAGCTCGCGCTGCCTCCCTTCGGTGGCTTCTCTGAGTCCAAACGTGGATGGAGGAGCCCCAAGCAGCCTTTGGTGCATCAGCATCAGCAGGTGCTCACCAGGAGGCTTTGGAGACGCTCCGTTAAAGCTGGGTCCTCCTGCCTGGCTTGCAAATCCTGTGGTGGGATGAGACCTGGTCCCACTTCTGCGTGTGGTGCCGGGACTAGTCGAGGTGCCCGGGAGGGTGTCCCCCGGGGTCACCACCACGTTGCATTGGAGCTCGCCGTGCTCCGTGGCGAAGCCGCCTGCGTGCCCGTGGCCCTGGACGTGGCGGCGTGTTCGCGAACACGACGCGCTCGGTGACACGGTCTCTGTGGCGCAGACAATGAGCACGTGTACATGGACCTGTCCCAGAAGCTCTACAAGTACTGCCCCAAGGAGTGGAAGAAGGAGGCCAGCAAGGTGAGCGCTGCCCGGTGACACCCCCAAGGCCGGTGCTGTCCTGGCCACAGGTCGCTTCCCAGATGGGAAATGATCCCAGGGGATGGCTGGTCGGCTTTGGGCCCCACGGAGCAGGCGCCGGGGTGGGAGACGTCAGCGCGTGCAAAGGCCACGTGAGCGAACGCTGCGTGGCAGCAAGGTGGCACGGAGGGCTTGTTGGCATTTTCTCTGCATCCATTCCATCTATTATCCACTTTATTCCACATATGATAGTGCAATTTCTTAATGTGCCCCTTCCGCTTCCCAAACTCGTAAAGAGAAAGAGGAAAATCGCTCAAAATTGTTGATAAAAAACTCCAAAAAACGGGATCGGCGTTTGCACGCGAGCTCCGTTTCCCGCTGCTTCACCACCTGGGCGCTGGGATGGGGTTTGCGGATGCGGAGGGGCCGCGCGGGAGTCCTGACCCTGTTGCTGCTTCCAGGGCATCGATCAGTTCGGGCCGCCGATGATCATCCACTTCCGTGTGCAGTACTACGTGGAGAACGGCCGGCTCATCAGGTGGGGAGCAGCGCCCGGTGCCAACACGGCCGTCCCCGCGATGCCACCCGGGGCTGCTCCCAGCCTCTCCCGGGGCTGCATTTTTCGCACCGAGGAGCGGGCCGGGCCGCTGCAGCGGCCGCGCGGGCGCTGACGGCTCCGTCTCTCTTGCAGCGACCGCACGGCGCGCTACTACTACTACTGGCACCTGCGCAAGCAGGTGCTGCACTCGCAGTGCGTGCTGCGCGAGGAGGCTTACTTCCTCCTCACCGCCTTCGCCCTGCAAGCCGACCTGGGCGACTTCAAGCGCAGCAAGCACTACGGCAAGTACTTCGAGCCCGAAGCCTACTTCCCGGCCTGGGTAAGCGCGCCGGCGGCGCCGCGTGCTCGCTCGGGAGGGATGGGGTCTCCAGCCCCTCTGTGGGACCGTGGCCCCGTTGATGGGAGCGTGGATGGGGGGCACCGCTCGCTGCAGGCGGGATATCGCCCCAACGGCAACATGAAGCGCTCGGGTTGTTGGCGGGCGAATGAAGCTCAAGTAAATATTAGTGTTAAAGCGGGGCCGCGCGGCAGTGCGCAGCGCAGCTGGACACCCCGC